TAGTGCTTCCAGTGGTCTAGGGCCTGCCTGAGAGCGTAGAGTTCCCTCTCGTACCTCGATGTTGCTACCTTTTTTGAGGGCAGTCGGGCTGACATGAACTCTACGGGCCTATAGCCATTGTCGTCGTCTTGCCGTAAAACAATTCTTATGCCACACGAACTAGCGTTTGTAATGACAACAAATGGCAGCGACGGGTTGGCGACTTTGAGGACAGGGTACTCTATTAAGGCCTTCTTCAATTTCTTCAAGGCCGAGGTACAATCTCGGTCCCACTGCCAGCTAACTTCTTTCTTTAGCAGTCTGGGGAGGGGAGCAACAATGGTGGAAAAGTTCCTAACGAACTTCCTATAGTAGTTCGCAATTCTAAGAACGATCACAACTCTGTCAGGGTCCGGGGAGTTGGCCAGTCTCGAATAGATGCTATCTTATTGTCCGCAGGTCGGATACCATCTCCATCCAACACATGATCTAAGTAAAGGACTTCGGTCTTAGCCCATTCGCACTTCTTTGTGATGATCTTGAAATTAGCTTCCCGTAGCTTCTCCAAGATCTGCCTTGGATGACCCTCATGTTCCGCGAGGGTCTTGCTGAATACTAAGACATCATCTAAGTAGACTACTAAGAATCTATCTATCCACGACCTAAACAAATCGTTCATGCAATGATGAAGTGTGGCTGACGCATTAGTAAGTCCAAAGGGCATCAATATGAACTCGCACTGCCCGTATCTCATCCGGAACGCCGTCTTGTACTGATCATCAGGGTGCACTTCTATCTAATGATATCCTGACTTCAGATCTATCTTTGAGAAGTACTTGCAACCCTGCACCCGATCTAAAAGATAATTTATACGGGGCAGCGGTTCTGCGTTCTTTATAGTTACTGCGTTCATAACCTTATGCACATACATAACTCTCCCTCTTTCCTTGGGACGAATAGAACAGGTGCACCAAAAGGAGATGAACTGGGCCTGATCCATCCTTTCTCTAGGAGTTCGTCCAACTGCTTGCGAAGCTCCTCTAGCTCTTCAGGGGACATTCTGTTGACTGCCCCCTTGGGCGTTCTACTGCCAGGTTTGATCTCTACATGATGCTGGATAGGTCTCGGTAGTACTCTAGAAGGTGCCTCAGAGAAGTCTTTGTATTCTTCCAGCAGACTGGCAATAGTGGGATGGACTTTCTCTTCCTCCTTTGGCGTATCCGTAACTGGCCTAACGTAGGCAACAAACACCTGCTCTTCGAGTTGCTCCTTTCGCACAAGTTTAGCGAATGCAGGAGCGTTGAGGCTGCAATGTGCAAGGGGATTATCTATCCCAGACTCATGGTACAGGCAAACTTGCTTAACTTCGCCTGACAAACTAGGGAGCCTGCACTCGTGCTCTCGAAGGTGCAAAGTAGCTCCTGCTGCCTCTCCCCGATTTGTACCCAAAACTACATCAAACGGGAGATTCTCTTCCGACGAGAAGAGTCAAGGAATGGGGGACTTTCTCTACCTTCCCTTCCTTCTCTAGGCGAAAGTATGCCTGGACTCCCTCTACGTATTCCTTGACACGCATCCTGCTGTTGTCCGTGAGGATACTGATTACAGAATCTTTCAGGCTTTCAACCGTTGAACTTTAAGATTGAGCTTCAACTTTTTCAGCGCTTTATGACTAGTGTAACTTCTGGTGGCCCCACTGTCTATAAGGGCCCCTACTCTAGCTCTAAAGATTTCTTAATCTGCGAGAATTAGCTGCCCTTTTCCTTCCTTTTTCATCTTGGCCCAGGCTTGCCTCCTCTCCTTCAATTCTTCCGCTAAGCTTGTGAGGGAAGCGTCTAGAGAGACTCTAACACAAAGTCTTTGGACAACTTACTAGACGCTGGCCAGCAACCTCTGCTTTGGAGATATGTGGGGTGAGACTCGGAGTATCTATCTTTCTCGCACACTCAGATCCACATACTCTTGGGGTAGGGATATTTGCGACCCCTACCGGCGGTTGCCTTTTGCTGCCCCAAAAGTAGCACAATCCCTGTATTTTGGACAAAACTTAATGATGTTCCCAGGGTTCCCGCAGAACACGCATTGGTACCTGTCTATGCAATCCTGCCACACATTATGCCCAATTCCCAATGATTTCCATGGCCGCCCTTCGGGCTGCCCAGGGTGCTACCTTCCTTGTTTGGGAGGTGACTGACTTGAACGCGGATGGTTAGATGGGGGACCTTGACCCCTTCCTCCCGCTTGGCGGGTCCCTATTGTTGCCAAACCCCTGGCCGCCCTGTCCTTGGCCACCTGAGGTTCGGCCATTCCTGCCAGGGCCCCTTCCTCCTCCTTGCGGCCTCCCTCGGGCCGCAACAGCAGCATAGGTACTCCCTCTATCTCTATTGTCTCCCTCTTCCTCTTCGAATCCTCATTCTATGTCAGAGTAGGGGACTTCCTCGGCACCACCTTCCTCCATCCTGAGTATCAGATTATCTTTGGCCTTGATCTGGTCGGAGATGGTGCGACCCTTCCACTTTTTGCCCTTTGTAAGATCTTTGGGCCAGAAAGTGGTAACTGGCGCAGCTTGGGCAGCGAATGCAACAGCCTCCCTACCAAGAACATCATAGGCCATTCCTGGCTGCTGCTTCTTGGCGAAGAAGTGCCCTTGCACATGCTCAGGCAACGCGCGGTAGAAAAGTTGGACAAGTTGTGCATCGGTCACTCCGTGGCAGGGCACAACAATGAGCTCATCCATAGCGGATTTGAGAGTGTGAACACTCCACTGCCGCGTATGGATCATTGGGGGTCTGTTTGACGCCTTGATTCCACTAGTGGCCTCCGCAAAACGTTCTCTCAAGGCTTTCAGGAAGTCAGAGAGATGAGTGACCCTGGAGTACTGGACCATGTCGTTCTCGAAATGTGCAGTGCTTGCGAGAGATCTAGCAAAACTGGTTGCTTCATCTGTGCGCTTCGAGTTTTGCTGAGCCTAGGTCCGGTTGTATTTTCTTTTCTCGTACTCCTCCCAAATGAACAACATGAAAAAGAAAAAAGAACCAAAAGAAATAAAACAATGCTATGGCGAGAAAGCAGTTGGATACAGAATCAAGGGCCAGTGTGAGAGTATGCCCTCAGTGAGGGCGTTTACAGCTCCGCGTTCATCATGGACGTTACTTTCAGAAAAGAAAAGCAAAAAAAAAAAAAGGAGCCCCAATATGGACGTGAAACCGGTTAGATACAGAATCTGAGTATATGCCCTCTTTGACAGGTTGTCAGAAGTCCGTGTAGTGCTCCCTGCCTCGCTGGCAGGGGGCCGAAAAGAAAACAGAAGAAGAAAAAAAAAAAAAAAAAAAAAACCTAACACAAGCCATAGGGGCGGCTAGATTCGTTCCTGAGTGTTGTAGTGTGAACACACCTCCTTCAGGGTTCCCCGACAGGGTTCCCCGACGTTGTTCCTCAATTTGCAGTTTCTTTTTTTTTTTGTTTCCGTGCCGCAGTTTCTTCTTTTTTTTTTTTTGTGCGCCGACCCTGGCCCAGCCCCCGATCTTTTCAGAATGAGTTGTTTTCAATGAATTTCTTTTGCCAGGGCAGTGTACTTGTGGTTTACGGCCTGGAAGGCTACTAAGACATGGTCCTCAGGGGCCACAACCTGTAAGTACATATACGAATTGACGTTGGCCTCCCAATTATCAAAGTCTTCTCCCTTTTTCCCACTGAAGGGTTCCGGGAATCGGACTTGGACCCTTTCGCGGCGGGGTCTGGACTCCTCCTTGGGAGCCGCTAACTTGGCACCCTCTATGGCACCTGTACAAAACTTTTCCGTCTTTCCTATTGCTCGATAGATCTCCCCAACTAAATGGGTCATCATATAGTGCGCAAATTCTTTGAACCCAGTCCGTACAGACTCCAGTGCAATATATCGTGGCCGCGAAGGTGTCTCAATTGTTCTCTCTGGGCGGTCAGTAGGGACTCTATGCTTTGGGTCAGCGTATCAAGTTTCTTACCTACTTCAGTCTCTTCCCTGATCTTTCCCACCAAGTCTCTGCCGTCTTCAACTCACCCTCCATCCTCTCTGCTGCTTTCCAAACGCCTTCTCCACCCCGCCCCCCCCCACAAAAAAAAATAAGAATAAAAAAACAAAGACCAGACAAGTTTGTGCGGACATGTGGCCACGGATGACACAAATGCACATTTCAAGTCCTGGGGGGTAGGGGTCAAGGCAGGGAGTGGGGGGTCAAGGCAGGGAGTTGAGGGAGGCTGGGATGGATCCTGGTAAGGATGAGGGAATTAGCCAGGGGCTTTTTCTCAGAGGAGGAAATTGGCGATGGAGGCCTTTGTTTCGGGGGGGGGGGGGGGGGGGAAATGTTGACATGGGTGTGCAATGCTTGGATGCTCTTGGGACGCCTTCTCCAAGCGCAACAGATGAGCGTGCGCCGTGCACGCATCAGAAGAGAAGTTAGAGAACCAAAAAGGGTGAACAGAAAAGGGCCATTCATGTAGGAAATGCCAAAACTACATTCCTTCCCCCGAATACAACGTATGGTCATTAAAGCTGCATTTCGTCTATCTTTCAGTCTAAATACAACTATAATGACCGTGCGTGCATTGTATTCCAGGGAAGAAGGTAGCTGGTTTAAACCACCAGTACATGGGCACCTGGGCCAGGGGTCTGACACCTCAAATTCTGGAGGCGGGAAACGAAAACGAGGCCGCCGATCGAATTTATCAACGTCGGGCCCAGCGTTTGACGTTTCGGCGTCGCTCGTTTTCTTGTGGCGACAAGTTTCGGACTGCAAGGCTGGGGCCCCGTGTACTTGAGGTCTAAAATGCACCTGGCCATCGGCACGTCAAGGCGCAGATCATCCACTTGGGCCCACATCGCGCATCTCAGTGGGCAGCATTGGGGCTAGTTCTGGTCTTAGAAAAGCTGGACAGGCTGGTTACTCCCTTTGCCATGGTCAACCCCAAACCCTAAACCCTAAACCCCACATCCTTAGATAAAAGTCATTCATTCATTCAACTTCGTTGTACTATATACTTACTTGAAATCCATAAAGGTCGACACTCGCACATCGTTGTAATGCCAACATGACACCCCAGAGGCCGGTGGAGGGACTAAAATACCATGGCCAGCAGCTTGTGACGTATTGCATAAACAAGGGATGGAAGGCCGCCAATTTTAGCGCTGGATGCTGGAGCTTTTGGGACAAGAAGTCTGCATACCGCTGTGTGGATGTCACGAAGACAAGCACCTGCTCCGGCCACGACTCTCGGAACCCGAAACTCTGTTCTGCTGTGATTCTGTGCGTGGTCCTGGTGCCCACTTGCCTCTCAAACGAGCTTGATCGTGCAGCATTCAACCTCAACACTAACTCGTGGTCATCTATCTTCAAACCATTCTCATAGTGTGATAGAATTCCGCTGTTGCCAACAACTGCACATGACCTGTATATGTGTCCCGGGGGAAACACATCCTCTTCTGTTGTGCATCACCCATCCCCAAGAGAACCAGAAGAGGAATCATGAGCCAAAGAAACAAAAAGAAAACGTTGCATTTCCAAACACACACACACACACACACACACACACACACACACACACACACACACACACACACACACACACACAGAAACACACACAAAAACCAAAAAAAAACACCGTCAGAAGAAGTGTCGGACAGAATGTTAGGCATTAGCACTATCGTTTCCTTTTCTATCAGGGCGAGGAAAATTCAAAATAAACTAACGTACTAAGAGAGAAGGTTAACGGAGACCTTAATTTTCAGACCACTTGCCATGCCATTTATAAGAAAACCAACGGGTCATTTTAATCAAACTTGCCACCAATTCATAGAGTGGAGACCATACTAACTAACTGCAAAAAAAAAACAAAAAAAAAACAATAATAAAAAACATATAAAACAGCAAGGCAAAAGTGCATTTTCGTACTAAGGGATTGTTGACATGCAGGCAGACACATGTTATCAGGAATTACTGGACCGGGCAAGTTGTTCATGTCCATCAGTTTTCTAAAAAAGACCATCTGCTGCAAGATTTCGGCAGTTCCAAAAGCAGCTGAAGACGAGACTCCTCAGCGGAAGGGCAGCAGAAGCTGCATTCTGTGACAAATGAGGAAGTGTGTTGAGAACCTTTGGGATGGAGGACTGGCTGCTTTGTGAAGAACGATGCTCTTTCGCCTGGTTTTCTCATTCGTTCGTTATTTACGGGAAACTGAACCCTATTTCCAGCAGGTGGTGGTCCCCACCAATTAAAAGTCATTGCCTCTGAACACGAACGGGCAAAAGCAATAATAGGATGCTGCAAATCAGCAGAGTTCAATCGAAGTAAATACATAAATAAATAACTTAAAATAAGATGTAAGTCCGTTTGTATCACAAAAGAAGTCCGAAAGGGCAAAAACAACACGAACTGGCAAAAGCAACGGCCACCAAACCCAAAAGGGAGACGAAAGCACCGTGCGCCGTGGTCGAGGCCCGGTGTCATTACTACAGGGGCCGGCCGTAGTGCCAGACGGGGAAAGAAAACGAATGAAAAATTAGTTTAAATTACCAATGGCGGAGCGCAGCACTTCCATTGCCCTCTCGAGTTTGGCGGCCGCTCTTTTCGCCCCTTCATGTTTTCTTTGCCTTCACAGTTTCAAATAGTGCCATTGCCGCACTGCAAAGTTCTGCAAGCCCTGTCATCAGAGTGCACCTGGACCTCCCCCTCCCCCCCCCAACAAAAAAAAAGAGCACACCTAGACATCCTAGTGGTTCTATATAGATCATCCACTTGACCATGTTATATGGCCATCCATTTTCTTCTAGCACAGCTGCCACCACCTTTCCCAATTTTCTAAGGCATTGCAATGTTCTTCAATTCTTTTTTGCAGTTTTGTTGACTGTTTTGATTTATTTACACATTTATTTATTTTCCCCGTCCAGCCAGAACAGGTGTTCCTCAGCCAGAAGTTGTTTGTACTTCTCTTCTTGTCCTTGCTGCTGTTTTCTGACAAAGAGCTCGAAATTTCTCTAAGATTCTTTTCCTCTTTTCTTTTGTGTCAATTCAATCATGTCCCTTATGGCCCATGGCCCCAGTCTATCCTGGGAGGCTGCTGTACCTTTTTTTTTCGCCCCCCTCCATTTTGTTTTGAGAGCTTCTGTACGGTTCCTTTCCACCGACAAGTCGTACAAAATAGTAAGATATAATCATATAACATTAAACCACCAGTACCTCGCCCAGCTTGAAAAAGCTGACGCGGCCGTTAACGCGCAGCGTCGGGCGGGGCACCCACCGACGTGCCACCTGTAGTCCCCAAAAACGGGTGAAAAAAAAAAAAAAAAAAAGGA